CCCTCTGTATGTAGGGTAGATATGGACAGGCAACTTAGACATTGGCTACCTAAAATGAGGGGGTGATAAAGGCACAAAGTGACTGGCTTACAAGTTTTCAAGAGGGAGTTTAGTTTAATAGTGTGTGGGGGGAAGACAGAGTACCCACTGAACAGTTTTCATCTTTTCTAGATGGGTCAGGTAAAAAGAGATGGGGTTAAGATTCTTATGATTCAATAGTGAGTATTATCATGACTCATTACGACTGTCACAATTGTAAAGGTAAAAGGTTTGTAACAAAGACAGGGGAGTAGTTAATCTTATAGTCCAGAAACAGAGGACCCTAGGACCATCAAGGGAAAACAGCACAAGTGGAATGTGGGGCCTTATCCAGAGATGCAGCAATACCAGAGATGGAGGCAGAGATGGGAATATGGAGAGAGGGAGCTGCTGAGGACTCTAGATTCATGGAAAGGGAGGGACTGAGAGCTGGTGGCCAGAATGTAGACTTGCAGAATGTGCCCTTTGGTGGTTTAAATTATTATGTATGCTTGAGTGTTTAAAAAACACAAAAAACTATAATGAATAGAGAGGAATACTGTTAACTGATAGCACATGGAGGGGATTATAATCACTGAAATGAAACAAAGTATATGATTTGTTGAATGTAAAACTGATGATCTGCCTTGTAAACTTTCATTCAATTCACAATAAAAACTTAAAAAAAGAAAAGAAAAGAAATATAGAAATACAAACATAAGCAACAGTTAGAAGCATAAAAGGTTAGCTAATTCAGGAGGTGAGATGACACCATTTTCTAGAATGCTCCCTAATAACATGGACTACTTATAGAAGATATAATTCATTTTTTCAAAAAAGGAATTCTTTACAATTGTTTTTGTTGATTGTAACAGAATTTCTTATTGTCTTAAAAGAAATTTTAGATTAAAGTGTAAGTTCTATTTCATATTTTAAGTATATTGCCAGACTGCCATGCAGAAAAATTATACCAATTTAATTCCCACCAATGGTGTCCTGGTATGATGCTGTGGGTTAATGCACTGGATAGCAAAGTTAGTTTGAATCACAAGGTCAGCAGCTCAAGCTAACCAGCCACTCCTCGGAAACCCTATGGGTCAGAACTGACTCGATGGCACTTAACAACAACAACAACAACAATTAAGTTGTTCCATCCTAGCACAAACTCTTTATTAGCATTATTTTTAGCAGACAAGAAAAAATTATTACTTTCATTTCCATTTATTTGACAACTTGCGGGCTGACATCTATTCTTAAATTTGTTTACCTATTTGTACTTCTTCTAGGAGTTGCCCATTCCCGTTCCTTATCTACTTTTCTCTTGAATTATCTGTCTTTTTCTTAATCATTTTCAGAGGTCCTGTGGATTTTAATCCTCTTTCTGTTAATAAAGTTGCAAATATCACTTCCCATGTGCAGTTTGTCTCTATTCTCCAATTTTGCATATTTAATTTTTAAGTCAATTTTTTAAATGAGTTTTGGGTTTATATCAACTTTAGAAAAACTTTACTCATACTAAGATTTTAAAAATAGTTTGATATATTTCTTCTGGAGCTTTCAAGATTTATTTTTAATGGTATTAAGACTTCAAGATAATATATACCTCTGCTTACATTTTATTACATAAACAGCTGAATTGATAGCTCAATATATTCTATTTATATGTACAGGATTGCTAATTGCAAAGTCAGGGGTACAAACCTACCAGCTCATAAGAAACCCTATACAGGGTCACGAGTCCTTACAGCAACATTGCCAAATTTACATTGTGAGTCACAAATAAAATCTGGCTTTTAGCTGCTTTATCATCTATTTACCTGAAACGACACCATTCAACCTCTCCTTCATGTTACCTACGGACCAGCCCTAAACAATGTTGCTGCTGTTATTAAGTGCAGTCAAGTGGGTCCCAACTCACAGCAATCCTGAATAGGGTTTCCAAGAAATGGCTGGTGAGTTTGAACTGCCAACCTTATGATTCAAATCGACCTTGAGGTTGAGTGCTTATTCTATACTTACAATAAAATTAGTGGTTTTTATATAATCAATTGTCAACTAACAAAATTGCTTTATCCAGTTCTGTTTTTAAAAAAATAAACAACTCTGTATTTAAGCCTGTATATTCCTTGAGTCCCGTTGTGGCACTGTGGGTAAATGCGCCAGACTGCAGAGCCGTTTGAACTGCAAGGTCCGCAGTTCAAGCTCATCAGCTGTTCCTCACAAACCCTATACAGGGTCGCTATGGGTCAGAACCGACTCAACAGCACTTAACAACAACAACATTCCTTGCTTAGACATAGAATCTGATAGAAAAAAATATATCAGTTCAGTTTTAGAAAGCCAAATTTGAATAATGATACCACACACACGTAAGGTACAAACTAACACAAGTGCTTATAGTTTAAAACATACCCAAATCTCAAACTTACCTTCCAGACCAAGTCCAGGTATCTAAGTTTAGGTAGTGCAAATCATTCATCCTAGTTTGCTAAAATAAAAGTGTGTTAAATTGTCAGTGTTTTACAACTTTCATGTGCTAAAATTTCAGTTTTAAAATAAGTTTAGATTAAAAATAGACTATCACTATTATACTTAAAATCATATGTTTATATATTAAAAAACAAAATTTAGCATTAATTAATGATCAGTTATTAATAAAACATAGAGATGCCAAATAACATGTCAGAGTGAATACAGAGAAATAAGTTTAAAGTAATAGAATTTACAAGGTAAGAAATCAAACTTTTCTGATAATGCACTGAAGCAAAAGATTTTCCTTAAACTATGATTTATAATTATCTATAAGTGTTTGTATATGGTCTGTTTTGGGAATAGAAGAAAAATTAAAATTATTATTCAATGCCACACTATCTCTAGATTATTTGAATGCTTAATCGCTCCACAAAATCAGAGGGTAATTTTGTTTTCAAATCCAGTTTGGTTTGGTTTTGTATTTTGTTCAACACCTTCAGTGCACATCCAGCCTCCACAAGACGATAAATGTTCACAGAGTATAAATTGTTATAAAAGACACCAGACATAAAAATACCATTTCCATTAAAAACACTAACCAAAACACGTCCGCCAAAAACATATCCCTTATTTCCAAGAACTGCACATGTATGCGCGGCTCGTGGCTGTGGTGGCACTCCACCCTGCAAGTAGAGATCAGAACAGAGTAGAATATAAAGACATGAAACATCTGTCAAGAAGTCACATTCTTATGCTCCCACTGTGTGAGAAATACTTGACCATTAAATTACCATTAGATGTATAATTCAATTAAAAATCCAAACACACAGTATTCTAATATTAATTATAGACAAACACTCATCTTCAAGAATAAACCATATTCTCCCTAATCTTTACTCTTCAAAGTGTCTTTTTTAAATTTTGGGGGAGAAAAATTCATGTAAATTTTAGCTTGAAATATAAGGATTTAAAGACCAAATGAGAAAAGATTCTCTCTCTCTCTCTCTTATACTCACACACATGATTAATATTATGAGTGAGCAGTATATAGTGTGATGAACTCAGAGATTCCCAAACATTAACTCTGCTCCCCACAAAACTCATGGAGTCCAAATTCCACAACAGAAATTTTACTATTGTTTTAAGATAAACAGTGCTTTATCTCACTAAAACTTTTAATGTTAACTGAGAACACTCTGTATTTTACTGTGAATAAAAACAAGTATAGTAGATTATTAAGAGAAGTTTTTAACTGAAGGAAAAAGAAAGGATAAGTGAGTAGATGAATGAATAAGATTTGAAGGAAGAATTTTCTGTATAAGCTCTCTGTGTTCATAGTGGGTACCTGTGTGCATGTATCTCATTCCAAATTCTGAAAGAATTCAGTATTTTCAATTCACTGGCTACTTACTGTGGGCATAGGAAATTGAAGCTGTGCATCCATTATCATAAATTCCTAAACCTTTCAGGCTTACTTAAACAACTGTGGTAGAGCTACGTGGTTAAGAAATAATCCAGGTGTTACCTATGTAACACTTAAGTAAATAAGAAAGAACTGTTTAAGAAGTTGTGCTTCTCAGCCTTCACAGTAAAATAAACAAAACTTTTATGACCCCATCTTTGTTCTAAAATTTTATAAAAATTTTGTCTACTATAATCACTATAAGATCAGCAACTAGAATTAACCAGTAATTCCTCAGTTGAAAGATGCTGTTTTCTGCTCCTGTGAAGATTTATGGCCTCATAAATCCTACAGAGGGTCACTATGAGTTGGAACCAAATTGACAGCATACAACCACCACCACCCACAATCATAACCTTAACTATGAAATAACTAGTTTCTACTTTTTTATTTATCAAATACAATTAACAGACAACCAAAGCTCCTGAATATACCAAGTTCACATACTTCCCATCAAAAGAAAATACATTATATTTTCATTTGTCTGTGTGTCTAAACTGTATAAGTAATGTTCGTTCAGTGTTTATTACGGTTTTTCCAATTATTGAGACTAGCTCAAATATCCCTATCACAACCACTGCTCTTCTAGGGGCAAAATGCCCATGTAGAAAAACATTGTTAACCCTCTCTTTCTGTAAATGAAACATGGAATGGATCTTTTAGAATACAATCGTTTTTCAACTTCAACACCAAAGATAGTCACACCATGTTGCCTTGCCTTTGGATGCAGATGCTTGGTAATATGAAATAACTTAAGGTTATCTGTTAAAAATAGAGAAGAGATTCCAGCTGCAATTATGTCAGAAGAGCTTTCAGATATAATACAGGCAACATAGAAATATATTTGAAGACATCATTCAGGAAATTACAATGAAAATATGGTTGTTGTTGTTGTTATTAGATGCCGTTGAATCTGTTCTGACTCAAAATGACCCTACACAACAGAACGAAACACTGCCTGATCCTAGGCCATCCACACAATTGTGATATTTGAGACCACTGTTGGTACCACTGTGTAAATCCATCTTGTTGGGGATTTTCCTATTTTTCGCTGACCTCCCACTTTTTCCAAGCACGCTATCCTTCTCTAGGGTCTGGTCCCTTCTGATAACATGTCCAAAGTATGAGAGATGAAGTTTTACCATCCAAGCTTCTAAGGAGCATCCTGGCTGTATTTCTTCTAAAATAAATTTGTTTACTCTTTTAGAAGTACATGTTATTGTCAATATTCTCCACAACCTAATTCAAATGCATTGATTCTTCTATAGCCTTCCTTATTCACTGTCCAACTTTCAAATGCATATGAGGTGACTGAAAATATCATGGCTTGGGTCAGACCCACTTTCGTCTTCAAAGTGATATCTTTGCTCTTGAGCACTCTAAAGAGGTCTTTTGCAGCAGATTTGGCCAATGCAATATGCTATTTGATTTCCTGACTGCTGCTTCAATGCGCACTGATTGTGGATCCAAGCAAAATTAAGTCTTTGACAACTTCTATCTTTCTCCATTTATTATGTTATTTATTGGTCCTGTTATGAGAATTTTAATTTTCTTTACATTGAGGTGCAATCCATAATTAAGATTAAAATATGGTTAGACACTAACTGCAACATGCCATGTACATGTAAGACTGTTGGGACAGAAGAAGAAGAGGAATTTGTATTAAGGTAAAGAGAAACAGGAGGAAAGGAAATACCTGAAGTAAATAAAATACCAAAATTCCAAATAGGAATTTACCTCAGCTCTTTCATCTTGAGAGTACACTCTAAAATATACCTTTAGTAGCCACATATTCATGCTTATTCTCTAAAAAGTAGCAGGTATAGGGTACTAAAAGAGATCCTGCACTAGTTTCAGTAGATCTATTTTCAATGATAAGCAACTATTGTGGCACTGTTGGATAACCACTGGACTGTTAACTGCAAGGTCGGCAGTTCAAACTCACCAGCTGCTCTGCAGGAGAAAGATGAGGGTTTCAGTTCTCATAAAGATTACTGTTGTTAAGTGCCGTCAAGTCAGTTCCGACCCATAGCCACTCTGTATAGGGTTTCCAAGGAGCAGTTGGTGAGTTTGAACCGCCAACCTTGCAGTTCAAACTGACTTTGTAGTCTGGCACATTAACCCACAGTGCCACACCAGGACTCCCTCATAAAGATTACAGCCTCGGAAAGCCTAATTAGGGTTGTTATGGGACAGAAGTGACTCTATGGTAGTGAGATGGTTTTATTTAATTCTCAATAACATTTTTCTTCAGCTAATAGGTAACATGAAATTATTTTAAAAGGTAAAAATATTTTATTTTATTAATAAAATCATATATCTTAAGATTCAAATACTGTTTGAAAGAGCATTCAATCAACAAATATAAGTGACTTTTATTTAAAATGTTCAAAATTTAGAAACAGGATAAAGAGAACAGAACAGAAATGGAAACCTGAAATTCACTGCTTCGAAAAAGAGGATGCTGAGAAGGGACAAACTTTATCATGCTATTTTGCACAGAGCCTTTGATTACTTCCAACAAGAGAAATTAGAATGTAAGGAATTTAATCATGTATGCCCATTAACACTGTTGGTTTTACCTACTCAGTACTCCATTCTATATAGTTCTGGAGACTTTATTGATCGCTAAGTGCAACAGGTATGGGACTCTGGCCTGATCAACCGTTCTCTTGTAAACTGGGATTGATGTAAAGAACTGGCACATGCCATAATAGAACTAGAGTCTTTTACTGGGACTAATAAGTAGTCATTAAGAGATTGCAGCAACAACAGAAGAACTGCTTGGTAGTCAGGGCCACATTTTCTGTTAAATGAGCCAGCCAGTCTACGGTAAGACAGAATTGAAACCAGCAAACAAGAGAAGTAGGACTAAGCAGATAAGAAGGATGGCAAATATTTTGATGGTACTGAGTGACTTGCTCTATTTTCTGAAACCCTGGTTCCTCCAGCTGTTCCTTTGTGCAAGTCACCCTTATATGGTAACTAAATATATGAGAATACATTATTGTTTAAACTACTTTGAATATGCATTTGGTCACTAGCAAATTAGTATCCAACAATATATTTTTGTCATGCTATAACTTTTATGTAGTTTTGATTCCTAATACAACTATTATTCAAATTTATGCACCAACCATGCATTTAAAAAAAAAGCCAATGATGATGAAATTATAGAATTCTATCAACTTGTGATATGGCGTGCACTTTACTGCAAAGTCGGTTTGATGTGCAAGGCCAGCAGTTCAAACTTACCAGTAGCTCCTCAGAAACCCTACACAGGGTCCCTATGGGTTGGAACTGACTCAATGGCACTTAACAACAACTAACTTCTTCAGTCTGAAACTGATCAAATATGCATAGATAATTACCGGTGATTGAAATGCAAAAGTTGGAACTAAAGAGAATGGATTGTTGTTGTTGTTGAGTACCTTGGAGTTGGTTCTGACTCATAGCGACCCTGCACAGGGTTTCCGAGGCTGTAAATCTTTACGGGAGCAGAACGCCTCATCTTTCTCCCGTGGAACGGCTGGTAGTTTCGAACTGCTGACCTTGCGGTTCACAGCCCGATTCGTAACCACTACGCTACCAGAGTTCCTTGGTAGTTGGAAAATATGGCCTGGCTAATAAATGATGCTGGTGTCCTCTTGTAGTGTTGTGGGTTAATGCGCTGGACTGAAAAGTCAGTTTGAACTGCAAGGTTGGTGATTCAAACTTACCAGTCGTTCCTTGGAAACCCTATACAGGGTCACTATGGGTCGGAACCAACTGATACACTTGACAACAACAAAAATAAATTATATACACAATGAAATTTTGCAAGACCAAGACTTACTCATTGCATATGCCTTTTTTCATAACATCAACAGTAACAACTGGGAAGTGACAATGAAGACACTCAGTATCATCAGCCAAACAAGGCTATGGACATGTTAGGCAGTTAGATTAGGGAAGGAGAGGTCAAACTGTAAACACCCAGAAGTATTATAATAAATTGGCATTGCAGTTAGGCTATGAATACAATTATAACAGGCTGAACTGTGGGAAAGGCGTTATTAAGACCCAAGGAAGGAAACACCAAAAAAGGACATCATCCAGGGATTGGACTGAGCACAATCATCTGAAAACACTGATAAAGGCACTGGGCACAAATATCCAGAGACAATGATAAAACCAAATCTCCTCAATGTGGTACCTGAGAGCTAAGTGTAAACAATTAGC